GAATATAAAAGAAAAAAAAATCTAGTAAGAAAGCCAATGGCACCATGATACTGACTTACGAGCAATAATTAATAAGATTAATAATAATAATAATGAGAAGAAGAAGAAGAAGAAAGAAAGAAATAAAGAGAAAGAAAGACAAAATGGAGGTAAATAAAAAAAATGAAATATGCAATCGGAATATTGGCTGAAAATTAACAAAAGAGATTAAAGAATATAAAAGAAAAAATAAAGATTAAAATAATTCAATAAACGAGGAAAAAGCAAGAAAATTAAGAATAAAAATGGAAGACGACATGTGATAAGAGAGAATGTGATAACAAAAGATACAGTGAGAAAGAAATAAAAGTCAATGAAGAAATGAAAGTAAGTAAAAAGGAAGGGAAAAAAGAAAGAATTAAAAATAAAAAATAAAGAAAGATGAAAGCAATAAAGAATGAGTGAAATAAATAAAGAAAGAAAGAAGACGTATAAGAGAAGAAGCAATGTGTTATAGTAGAACACACCTATTCTATAGTTAATAGACTCTCCCACCTATAATAAGTAGGAGTAGCAGCAGTCGCTGAGTCGGCAGTGAGTTGGTCAGTCATTCGATGTCGGACGACCGTTAGTCGGATATTAAAGTATCAGCCACCCCAACTAAATTACTGCGTCATTTACCTATTATATCAAGTTCCTAACGTTTTGTACGTCGAACCTATTTTAGGACCGACTTAGTACAAATACAAGCCTCCACTGTGAAACTACTACATAACACAATGGAAGGGAGACAATTTAAATGTCAACAGGAGAAGTAAAGGAAATGATGAAAATTAGAAAAAAAAGGCGAAAAAAAGGAAGGTGAAGTGAAAGACGACGAAAATTATAACGAAAAAAGAAACGAAAAGATATAAACATAAAAATAAAGAAAAAGAAAGAGAAAAGAAGAGAGATTAAATAATATCCAGAGAGGTAAAAGAAAAAAAAAAGAATATAAAAGTGAGGATAAGGTGACGAAATAAAGAAAGAAAGAAAGAAAGGCAGGAAGAAAGAAAGAAAGGAATGAACGTAAGAAATCCCAACAATAACTTAGTCCCCAGCATATTTATGCTGGGGACAAAGTTATTTACTCCTGTTTTAAGAGGATGTTCGACAGATCCGACAAGTAAAACCGGTAGCTGACCTTGAAAATGACCTCTGATTTGGTGTTAATAGAGGCAAGAAATGTCTTGTAAATACTAAGGCCTCCAAAACGAGACAGCAATTTTTTAATCATCATTGAGAATCATTTTTACCGTCCATCAGCATGGCTGATGCTAACCACATGTAAACGTCCGCTATAAATTTGGGGTGGAGGATATTTTAGCAGTTATTGAAAGCTCGAATCCCTCTAGAACACTCATATTATGATACCTCTTATTTTGATAGCTGAATAATACGGCTAGTGTGTTATTTAAGTTTTTTTTTAAGCGTTTCACCCCAAGCAAGGCGGGAAGCCACTAGGACGCAAGGGGTGACAGAAAATTTGGAGCAAGATCAGATAGGAGTGATAGAAGAAAGGATGAGGAGAAGGATAGTGGATAGATCAAGGCAACTGGAGATGTCGATTGACATTACATTTGAATAGCTGGAGATTATAGCTCTCAGGGAAACAGGAATAGGGAAGGGGGTTCCACAGGTGAGAGGTGCGAGACATGAAGCTATTGGAGTAGAAGAGACGGCTACATTTAATAGTCTCGACAGTGAAAGGGTGAGAGCGGGATGCCAGCCTCGTAGGGCGCTTGAATTCATGAAGTCTGGGAACCAGCGAATGCAGCTCCTCGGAGCAATTGCCATGAAAGTATTTGTAAAACAGACAGAGAGAGGCGACAGCGCGTCTGTGAGAAAGTGACTGTAGACGAGAAGCCAGAACAGGGCCGATTATATTGCATATCCGCCTCTGGAGCCTATTAAGAACCCCGAGGCAAACAGAAGGGGCTCCAGACCATATATGGCAGCAATACTCCATGCAAGGGCGAATTGTTGATTGGTAGATCTGGAGGATCGATTCTGGGGAGAAAAATTTCCTGGCGCGGCACAGGGAGCCAACTTTCCTTGCGGTGGACGAAGCAATTGACTCAATGTATTTGTTCCATTTCAGGTCAGCAGTCAACATGAGACCGAGCAGCCGCAGAGAGGTGCTCTCGAGAAGTTGAGCGTCAGACATTCTAACGGAGGAGATATGTCAGAAATAAACTCATAAACTTTTGCATTAATCTAAAATATTTTAAAATGTCGATCCAGTTTTTCTTATCTTTTTTTTTCTTTTTGAGGCGGGGGTGGTGGTGGCGGCTAATCAGCATTAATTCAAGAGTAACTCAACGATAAAAAATAGAAGTTATTAAACCCTTAGGCTAAATAGTAATCATCGTTTTTCAAATACTAAATGTCATTTAAAAATAGCGATGGAATCGCATGTGAGTTTTAGCCTTTCTTTCGGTGTGGCGTGAGTTGGAAAGAAAAATGTTTTAAAATAACTGATCTTATTTCTTACGAAATGCATGACCATAAAATTGTATGCACAGAAACTCTTATACAGACCCCTTCGTACATACCTATGCCAACTAATCTCTGAATTTTAAACAAGGTGCACGTAACAGGTGCAGTAGGCAGACCCTCACATATACTCACCTATACAGCACACACAGGAGCGTGTATAAAAATTCTTATTTACACTAAAATTTAGCCGTTCAATGCGTGATATGACTAATACTTTGCCCCCAAAGTACAATGAAGCAATTTGAGAATGAGGAACTGAGTACATTCGTTTTACATTAGAAATAAACACTTAGTGTATATTTAAGTAATTCGAAATATCCATTTCTTTAGAGCTCATTAGACATTATAATTCCAACTCGAAGAGAGTCCATCAGATTGAAATTAACCCAACTCGGACAAACAAGACGAGCCAAAGTTAATTATTCACATATAGACAGATACTTTAAAAACATAAATGGAAATGCACATATTATATATATATATATATATATATATATATATATATATATATATATATATATATATATATATATATTTATATATATATATATATATATATATATATAATATTTATCCATGTATACATGTATGTCATATATATATTCACACAGACCCAATATATATATAGCTGGCAACTCGTATTCGAAGAAAACCTGTCTACTAAGTCGGCTAGCCAATCCCCAATTCAGGCGCTTGCTCAGGCGCTTTTGTATTTATTCAAGACCCTGTGGTTTATAATGCAACTATGCTGAGAAGACCTTCGTTACAGTTTCAGGGAAAGAGCGTGTTATCTAGCGTCATCAACAGTTTGAACAAGACCAGGAAGGTTACATATATATATATATATATATATATATATATATATATATATATATATATATATATATATATATATATTAAAAGATTATCATGAAAAGATATTGAAATCGTTATTTCTTTCCTTTTTTACTTTTTCTTTCTTTTTCCTTTGTTCTTTCCGTTTCTTTCTTCATTTCATTTTTCTTTCTTACGTTCATTTCTTTCTTTCTTTCTTTCTTTCTTCTTGTCTGTCTTTCTTTCTTCTTTCTTTCTTTCTTTCTTTCTATAATATTTCGTCTCCTCATTCTCACTTTTATATTCTTTTACGTCTCTGGATATTATTTAATCGCTCTTCTTTTTGCTTTCTTTTTCTTTTTTCTTTCTTTTTATGTTTATATCTTTTTGTTTCTTTTTTCGTTATAATTTTCGTCGTCTTTCACTTCTCCTTCCTTCTTTTCGCCTTTATTTTCTAATTTTCATCATTTCCTTTACTTCTCCTTTTGACACTTAAATTATCTTCCTTCTATTGCTTCTTCTCTTATACGTCTTCTTTCTTTCTTTATTTCACTCATTCTTTATTGCTTTCATCTTTCATCTTTCTTTCTTTATTTTTTCATTTTTAATTCTTTCTTTTTTCCTCTTCCTTCTTACTTACTTTCATTTCTTCATTTACTTTTATTTCTTTCTCTCTTTCTTCTCACTGTATCTTTTGTTATCACATTCTCTCTTTTTATTGTCTCTCCTAACATGTCTTCTTCCTTTTTTATTCTTAATTTTCTTGCTTTTTCCTCGTTTATTAAATTATTTTAATCTTTATTTTTTCTTTTATATTCTTTAATCTCTTTTGTTATTTTTGACAAAATTCCGATTGCATATTTCATTTTTTTTATTTACCTCCATTTTGTCTTTATTTCTTTCTTTCTTTCTTTCTTCTTCTTCTTCTTCTCATTATTATTATTATTATTATTATTATTAATCTTATTAATTATTGCTCGTAAGTCAGTATCATGGTGCCATTGGCGGCCTTACTAGACAATGCCTCCAAGGAAGACATCTCTGGGAATCAGTCATTCGTAAAGAACTCATCATTGGCAGACTTGGATTCGGGGGCTAGTAGAGATCCACCCGACCCACATCCAAAATCCGCTGGCCTTTCAACCCCCTATCCTAGTATGATGCATTATTTGCCGATGTTTTCTTATAAGGCAAGAACAGAGATTTACAAAGATCTATATATATATATATATATATATATATATATATATATATATATATATATATATATATATATATATATATATATATCTGACGCGTATATATATATATATATGTGTGTGTAAAGGCTTGTATATGTGGTCTATTCACCAATGAATTCAGAGATTTACAAAGATACGCGTCATATATATATATATATATATATATATATATATATATATATATCTGATATATATATATATATGTGTGTGTGTGTGTGTGTGTGTAAAGGCTTGTATATGTGGTCTATTCACTCAATGAAGGGGAAGATGAAGAACAATGAAAAAGAAAAAGAAAGCATGAAAATAGTAAAGAGTGGGAAGGTATTTGATGAGGTGAGAAAGTGAAGAGGAGAAAAAGGTGCATATAAGAGAGAAGTTAAAAAGAAGGAAGAGAGAGAGAGAATGTTGCGAAATATCGAAGAATGATGATTAGAAAGACATTTTTGGGATGAAGAGAGATGGAGAAAAGAGGAGAAAAAGCGGGGGGGGTTGGAAAAGACGTGTAACAAGAGGAAGTGAAAGTCCACGGGTACGAATAGAAAGTGAGGAAGAGGAGACGATGGCGAGAAAAGAAGAAGAAGAAAGAGAAGAAGCAGCAGCAGAAGAAGCAACAGCAGAAGAAGGAAAGGAAGTAGTAGTTGTAGTAGTAGTAATAGAAGAAGAAGAAGAAGCAGGAGAAGAAGAGGCAGAAGAAGAAGGAAAGGAAGTAGTAGTTCTAGTAGTAGTAGTAGTAGTAGTAGGAAGAGGAGGAGTAGAAGAAGATGAAGAAGAAGAAGCAGGAGAAGAAGAGGCAGAAGAAGAAGGAAACGAAGTAGTAGTAGTTGTTGTAGTAGTAGTAGTAGGAGTAGAAGAAGAGGCAGCAGGAGAAGAAGAGGCAGAAAAAGAAGGAAACGAAGTAGTAGTAGTAGGAGGAGGAGGAGTAGTAGTAGGAGGAGTAGAAGAAGAAGAGGCAGCAGGAGAAGAAAAGGCAGAAGAAGAAGGAAACGAAGTAGTAGTTCTAGCAGTAGTAGTAGGAGGAGAAGAAGAAGAAGAAGAAGCAGGAGAAAAAGAGGCAGAAGAAGAAGGAAACGAAGTAGTAGTAATTGTTGTAGTAGTAGTAGTAGGAGTAGAAGAAGAGGCAGCAGGAGAAGAAGAGGCAGAAAAAGAAGGAAACGAAGTAGTAGTAGTAGTTGTAGTAGTAGTAGTAGTAGAAGGAGGAGTAGAAGAAGAAGAAGTAGCAGGAGAAGAAGAGGCAGAAGAAGAAGGAAACGAAGTAGTAGTAGTAGTAGTAGTAGAAGAAGAAGAAGAAGAAGAAGAAGAAGAAGAATCTAAAGAAGAAGAATCAGAGAGAGGGTAAAGGAGACGAAGAAAAAGAAGAGGCAGAAGAAGAAATAGACGAAGTACTATTAGAAGAAGAAGAAGAAGAAGAAGGATAGAAGAGAGGAAAAAGAAGTTGAATAATGATTGGAAGAAGAAAACCACGAAGAAGAAAATCTAGAAAAAGCAAAGAAGATGCTGATGATGATGATGCAATAAAAATAGTAATTAAATCCTTGGCAGAAGCAGAAAGAAGATTACCAAAATGAGAAAAGGGAATAAAAGCGAAGAAGAAAAACATCTCGGCATTTTGACTCTCTCTTTTCTGATTGTAAGTCATTGTAGTACAACATTAAAACTTCCCCATTGCTCACATGTCTTATCCATGGTATTCCCAGCATCCGTCTTTAGAAGTACTTCTTTTGCTTTGTGTCTCTTCTTCATCTGTGACGGGATCCTCCCATATTCACTAGCTTTTTTAGAGATTAGTAATCTCCTCACTCTGTCTTCTATTTGCAAATTCTCTGAGTTATTCATCGTTTAGTCAGTTTCGCATGTTTTCACCGTCCTTTGAGTGTTATATTTTCCAGTGTCTCTTTCCTCATCTGTCCAGATATTTCAACTGACTCATTCGCATTGTAAGTATACACTTCCTTGTTGTAAGTACTTTATTTAAAACATCCTCTTTGCCCAGATGTTCCGTCAATGGTACTTTTAGCTTTCATAAATAGAACCGCTTCATATCTCTGCTTCATATGCGATGAAATTGTTCAACATTCGCAGCTATATAAGAGATTAGATTACTTTAGGAAAATGTTTTTCTACCTCTAAATGTTATATTACTTAAATAGCACTCTGTAGGAAAGCAGAAAACTTTGCCCTGACACTGAAGACAAATTTGATTGCTAAACAATAGTGTTTCAGTTTTGCTGTTGTGATGTCAGATCCTGCTATGGCAACAGTAAACATAACTTTGTTTCCTTAGCGTCTGGAAGAAATGGTTCTCTCGTCCTATCTCCGTTCCGATTTCTGCATCACTATTATCTATTGTCTGTTACAAGACTAGCCAGATAATTTATGCTGAAGAATAAAAAAAGAAAGAAAAAATGCCAGGATTATTCACATGTTGAACTGCACTTCTGTTAAGCATCCAAGTATCTGCATGCTCTTTGCACAATCGGGATCAGTATTGTATCTGTGCAATCTGACCAATTACTTAAACGTAGGTCCAAAATGAATAATCTTATTTCATTATATGAACGGTATGATTTCTATTAGAGAAGTTTTCTATCAAAGACACTCTATTAGAAGGGTTAACATCTTTTGAAACCTCCTGTACAACACAGCATTTGTAAGCATTTCTCCCCAGCCAGGCAATAAAGTTACTAAAACGAAAGTTGCTACCGGTTGTTCAATAAAATCGCCATTGACTTCAACCACGGCCGTTAGACGACTTAGAAATCTCATGCAACACTTCTGGATGGTTTCCTTGTTTAAGTTGGTGAATGCTGCCATAATCCTTGCCTTCAGTTCATCTTTGATGTTACAAGGACCTTTGTTAATCTCTCGCTAAACTGCGCCCTACACATAATAATCAAAGGTATTGCAGTCTAGGGAGTCAGGTGGGCAGATGTAACGGGTGATGTAGTCGCAGAAATTCGCTGACAGTCATGACTGGGTTTTCCTGCTTGTGTGGCATGGTGTAGAGTCCTGTTGCCAGAGATAATGTCTTCTAGCAGCCACTCTCTTGACCTAGGGCTGCACTACCTATTTAAGCAACGTGATGTAGGATTCCGTGTTGAGTCTAAAGACCTGTGGGAAGATGAATGAGGGTATAATGTCTCCATCACTAGTGATAACTCAAAAAACCTTCGTAATCATCATTAGACTCGTCTAATTCTTTCCAAATCCTCTGCACTGTCCTCAGATTGCCATCCAAACACTCTGAAATGTTCTTATTGGAGCTTCCGACGCGAATGCCAAGCAGTACAGCATGCCGTTTCCAAATTCGCAAATTTGGATACAAAAAGAAAATAAGAGTTATTCCCCTTGAATCATCAAAGGAACGATAATGGCTAGTATAATATATTAATATATATTTTTAACCTCGCATAATCTGGCAATCCTGAATCTGAGCTCAACAAAAATCATTCCCTGCGCCTAACTTTTGTAAGGCTTTTGAATGATTCATGACACACTGAAATCGGAGCAACGGGAGCGGAGGGGTTGCTTGGACACAAACACACGCACACACACATACACTCTACTCTATATATAAGATAATTATTAAACGTAAATGCACAACTACATAAAAATAATATTAAACAGAAATGGCCTCATACCAAAAGTAATTCAGAAATATAAATATCTGCCTCACAATGATGAGGTTCCTTAAGTTACATTCAGCTGTCCCGAGCAGAAATGCTTTTTCATTTCGTCCTCATTTATTTCCGGGCATTGCCCTAAACAGAACTGCCCTGTCCTCCGGCAAAAAGCCCTCAGGCCTTCAGACTTCTTCTGATGTTTTGTTTAAGATTGATGCCATCGGACCAGTAACCTTTTCTTGAACGCTTCCGTATTGTTCAACCCCAAATGATTACTCGTCCCGTCTTGGCTGGTGTCGTAGTATTTATCGAATTCGCTTAGTGAAACAAACAAATCAACGATAATACTAGAATAGCAGTGAGGGAGCTAGTTAACCTGAGCAGACGAGCAGGCAAATGCTCGTCAATACGCATGCGTATACTTTTATCTCCTGTTAATTCCCCTCTCCAAGTTCTCCACTGCTTTAACCGGCTATTGAACTCACACTCTTTGGATCCTGTCACTGGATCTAACCAAGGCCTTTATCCACTGTGCCATGTGTCCTTGAATTTCTGGGTATTATAAACCTAATGTCTTCAGCAACCATTTTTACCAGTGTTCATATTGCAATTTTTGCTGTTATCATGACATATTTTTACCAGAGCTCATATTGCAACAAGAACAAAAAAGAAAAAAGAAAGTGCCAAGATGCATGAAAAAATGGTAGCCATTCGGCGAGAGGTCAGGTGAATATGATGCAAGTGATAATTTGCGTATTCCATGTCGGTCACCTTCTGCAGCGACATTCTGACATTGGTAATATTATGTCGCACTTAGTAACCCCTTCAGTCTTATCGCCTTACTAGGAATGAAATGATTAAGAAAAAAATAAAATATTGGTTGGTGCAAAAATAATGACGTAATAATGTCGTTTTTGACGTATTTTTAACGTCAAAAACGACATAATTACGTCATTATTTTTGCACCAACCTAATACATCGAAGCTACTTTACATCTGTCGGAAAGTGATTGAAATCGATATGCCAGGTTAGGACGGCTAAAGTTGCAGATTCTTCATTCACCTTGGAAGGTAGTTGTCTCTTTGGGTGAGGATATTCCTCCTCTACAGGGAATTGGATAGCTATGGTATTCATTGCACCGACAGTGTTGAAACAGTGTAAGAAAATATGGACAACGCAGATGGGCTTGTTTGGGAAAAAGTTGTCTTATTTTAATTTTCGAAGTCGGGAAAGGAGCGGGATGATCCTAAGCGTCTTAGAACGGCTGGGGTTTGTTTTGCATTTTGGGAGAAATAATGAAGACTTGGCCAAATTCGTTGGAATAACGGAAAGGAGAAGAAAAGACAAAACAATGCTGTGGAGAGAACAAAAAGATATGAAAGTGAGATACGATAATGGAGAAAAGTTCATCAAAGAAAATGGGATTTGCCGAAGAACGAATTGCAGAATTCGTCATGAATGGCGACAAAGAAAGGGGGGAAAAAGGCGGGAAGTGAAGAAATAAAATGTAGTGTATTTATTAAGATCCATGGAAGTGAAAAATGAAGGAGAATCGAAAGAAAAAAGTGGAAAGGGGATGAAAACGTCAGATGTATTGGACAGAAGGCTGGAAGAGAGTTGACCTGAAAAATATTTTCAAGATGGCAGTAGAGAATCTATTGAGGATGGAAGACGAAAAATAAGAAGAAGAAAAGAAAAAAAAAGCCAAAAAAAAAAGAAGATACCAAGCAATGCGAATATGAAAAAAAAGAAAGGACTCAAATGATAAAAGAAAGTGTTAAAAAAAGCGCATATATATATATATATATATATATATATATATATATATATATATATATATATATGCAATTATTATTGTACATACATTTTCAAGTTATTGTTTAAGGCCGCCAATTTAATGCCATCTGTCGAGAAAATACTGTACTACAATAGCCTTATCGCGATTTGATAAAACAACGAAAGACAAGTTTTTTTTTCTCCTGAATTACATATATATATATATATATATATATATATATATATATATAAGTGAACATTGAAGTCAACACTTAGGGGCGATAGTCTGTTTCATGCTAGACGCAATTGTCAGGCCGCGAGTGCTGTTTTTTTCTTCTCGACTATATATACGGGTCAGTGGTGCATTGTGGGTAGTCTATTTTGGCGGTTATTTTACCGGAAGTCGTTTATTTGTTTATTTATTTGGGTTAAATTATTTTGCTTGTCTTTATTTGTTTTAATTTTTATTTTTTATTCTTTTTTTATATTTTTATTTTTATTTCTTATCTTATATTTTTATTTTTTCTATTTTTATTTTAATCGGTGTTTTATTAACGTAGTAAAAAGTTGTTCATATCGCTTATTTAATAGTTTTGTTTTGGTTTGGGAAGATAATTAAAGCTATTTATTTAATTTTGGGGTTGATTGTTGTAGCTTATTCTAACTATTATTTTGGCGGGAGCTGTTTTTTTTTATTTGTTTATTACTTCATGTATGTGTTTGGATTGATTATCCTTATTTGTTTTTTTTCTAACGGTTAATTTATCGGGATCGATTTGTTAGTTTGTCTATTTATTTGTTTGGAATAATTTAGATTAATTTATTTTATTTGTTTATTATTATTTATTTATTATTCTGTATATTTTTATTTACTCTTTTCGGTTTTCGATTTTTAAGTATCGTAGTATTTTTTTATCGTTATATAACAGTTATAGCTATTTTTTTCGTCCGATTTTTGGTTTGATTTTTATAGTTTAACTATTATTTTGGTCATAATGGTTTGTTAATTTGTTTATTATTTATTTTATTTTTTCGATTCATTGATATTGTTTTTATTTATTTATTCATTTATTCTATTTCATATATTCTAACGGGTGTGAGTTATTAATTTGTTTGGGTTAATTTATTTTACTTATTTAACTGTCATTTTGTTTATTTTATTTTATTTTTTTCAGTTTTCGATTGTTAAGTAACAGAGTAAAAAGCTCGGATCTTTTATTTAATAATTTATTATGGCCTGGAAAGGTAATGATAGCTGTTTTTGAATGGTTGCTGTAGGCTGATATTCTTTTCCTTATTTTCCAAGATATTTTTGGTCTGATGTATGTCTTGTTTTTAATTTCTCAGATTAGAAATCATTGTGCTGTTCGCATATTTACTATTTGTGAACTATGTTTTGTGTGCATAATTTCTTTGTTTCCAGGGTCCTGCAGTTACTCCTATGTATACTTTTTCTTCATTATCTAGTGATTTTTTAACGTGGCTTGGTATATTACGTTGTTTTGCAGCTCGTGACGTCACGCATGACCACGCGCTGTGACGCGATTTTCGCTTCCGCGTCTCATATATACGAGTTTGTCGTTACTTGAAATTTTCATGCAGCAGGGGCGGACTATCATTGTTGATTCGTCCGCTGTTGCTTGATTTATTGAAATTGTCATCTTGGATAATGGCTTGTGCAAGCCGAAAGCTTAGATTGGATTTAAACATGTATCAATATGGCGATTTCCTTTCGTCTTTCAACGATAATGTGATTAAGCTTATCAGACAATATGAAAGGAACTTACTTAACATAAATAGACAAAACTTGTCCATATTATTTAATGAAACATGCATTAATGAAAAATTGCTGCCTAAATATATATGTATATTTCTATATGTATATAAATATACATGTGTGCTCATATATATATATACATATATACATGTGTGCTATATATATATATATATATATCAATACACACACACACACACACACACACACACACACACATATATATATATATATATATATATATATATTTGTTGGATAGATGAGTTTGTGACAACTCACATCTATCCAACCAAATATATTAGCTCTATCATCTCTGATAATTGAGCGCTTTCAATAAGTACTGCGCATATATATATATCTTTATATATATATATATATATATATATATATATATATATAACGTGTGTGCCTTTTGTCAACCTTCAACCAATTTCCGTTATTTTTTTCGCCTTTTTAAATTATTTCTTCCTTTTACTTTCTTCGTCTAGATCTTCCATTTCGATTGTTTCATGTTTGGTAGACAAAGACGTCTGTACCGATAAAAAAAAACCATGAAAGACCACAAAATAAAAGAAAGAGAGAGAGAGAGAGAGAAATGGATAAATAAAAAAAGGAAACAAAAACGGAAGTCTAAAATCTGATTCAATATTTACGCATGCGCGAAATATTACACCACAACACGTATTTATCAATTTTAAGAGGAGTAAAAGGAAACACTAAAGCATAATAAATAAACCAAATACGTAAGCTCAACAAATGTTTTGGGAGGTTTTTTGTCTGTTTTTGTTGTAGTACTTTGTTTTGTGACGACCTTCTGCTACTTATCTTGTCTATTCGGGACAATACACCTTGGAATGTATCGTATCTACACGAATCACGTTTCTCGAAACGAGTAGCGAAAGGATTTATGGGAAAGGACAGGGGCAAAAGAGATAAATGATGGAATTGGTTCCTCTTAAGCAACAAGGATAGATGGAGAAAGAAAGGTAGAAGCATATGTAAAACTGAAGAATCGTCAAGTATGCAAGTATAATGGAAAGAGCAGGTTGAATGATGACGTGATAGAACGAAAGACAGTCATGTAATAAATAAAACGTACAAGAAGAAAGAAAGAAAGAAAGAAAGAAGAGAAAAGAGAAAGAAAAAAGAAAGAAACGAACACAAGAAAGAGCAATGAAGTAATGAGGCAAATGGACGAAGCGAGTAAGAAAGAAAGAAAGAAAAAAAGAAAGAAAGAAAGAAAGAAAGAAAGAAAGAAAGAAAGAAGAAAAGAAGCGAATGCAAGAAAGAAGTGAATGCAAAAAAGAACAAAGAACAAGTGAGGCGATTTGAACGATGTCGGTATGGAAGAAAGAAAGAAAGAAAGAAAGAAAGAAAGAAAGAAAGAAAGAAAGAAAGAAAGAAAGAAAGAAAAGGAAGGAAAGAAAGAAACGAACTCAAGAAAGAACAAAGAAGAAATGAGGCAAATGAATGAAGTGGGTATGAAAGAAAGAAAGAAAGAAAGAAAGAAAGAAAGAAAGAAAGAAAAAGAGAGAGAAAGAAAGAAAGAAAGAAAGAAAGAAATAGAGAGAGAAAGAAAGAAAGAAAGAAACAAACAAACAAACAAATAAACAAACAGAAAATGGAATAAATATTAAAAAGAAATAATGAGTGAAATAAATGAATAAAGAAAGAAAGAAAGAAAGAACGAAACGAATGCAAGAAAGAACAAAGAAGAAGAGAGGCAAATGAATGAAGTGGGTAAGAAAGAAAGAAAGAAAGAAAGAGAAAGAAAGAAAGAAAGAAAGGGAAATAAAGATAGAAAGAAAGAGAAAGAAAGATAGAAAGAAAGAGAAAGAAAGAACGAAAGAAAGAAGCGAATGCAAGAAAGAACAAAGAAGAAGTGAGGCAAATGAATGAAGTGGGTAAGAAAGAAAGAAAGAAAGAAAGAAAGAAAGAAAGAAAGGAAAGAAAGATAGAAAGAAAGAGAAAGAAAGAACGAAAGAAAGAAACGAATGCAAGAAAGAACAAAGAAGAAGTGAGGCAAATGAATGAAGTGGGTAAGAAAGAAAGAAAGAAAGAAAGAAAGAAAGAAAGAAAGAAAAAAAAAGGAAAGAAAGAGAAAGAAAAAGAAAGAAAGAACGAAAAAAAAACGAATGCAAGAAAGAACAAAGAAGAAGTGAGGCAAATGAATGAAGTGGGTAAGAAAGAAAGAAAGAAAGAAAGAAAGAAAAAAAGGGAAAGAAAGATAGAAAGAAAGAGAAAGAAAGAACGAAAGAACGAAACGAATGCAAGAAAAGACAAAAGAAGAAGTGAGGCAAAAAATGAATGAAGGGTAAGAAAGAAAGAAAGAAAGAAAGAAAGAAAGAAAGAAAAAAAAAAAGGAAAGAAAGATAGAAAGAAAGAGAAAGAAAGAACGAAACGAATGCAAGAAAGAACAAAGAAGAAGTGAGGCAAATGAATGAAGTGGGTAAGAAAGAAAGAAAGAAAGAAAGAAAGAAAGAAAGAAAGAAAGAAAGAAAGAAAGAAAGAAAGAAAGGGAAAGAAAGATAGAAAGAAAGAGAAAGAAAGAACGAAAGAAAGAAACGAATGCAAGAAAGAACAAAGAAGAAGTGAGGCAAATGAATGAAGTGGGTAAGAAAGAAAGAAAGAAAGAAAGAAAGAAAGAAAGAAAGAAAGAAAGAAAGAGAAAGAAAGATAGAAAGAAATAGAAAGAAAGAACGAAAGAAAGAAGCGAATGCAAGAAAGAACAAAGAAGAAGTGAGGCAAATGAATGAAGTGGGTAAGAAAGAAAGAAAGAAAGAAAGAAAGAAAGAAAGAAAGAAAGGGAAAGAAAGATAGAAAGAAAGAGAAAGAAAGAACGAAAGAAAGAAACGAATGCAAGAAAGAACAAAGAAGAAGTGAGGCAAATGAACGAAGCGTGTATGAAAGAAAGAAAGAAAGAAAGAATTTGAGGAAATAAAGAAAAGTCCAAGAAAGACATTCTTAAAGACAAAAAGAAGAAAAAAATATTAAACAACACAAGCGAGAAAATAAGAAAGAAAATATTAAAAAGAATGAAAGCAATTAAGTACTGAAAAAAAAAGGAGAAATTCGAGAAAGAAAGTAAAAACAGCGAAAACAGTAAAAGTAATAAATAAATAAATAAATAAATTAAAGAAAAAAAGAATGTATTAATGAATGAAAAAGATTTACAGGAAAGAAATAAAAAGAAAGACTAAAAGAAAGTAAGAACGAAAGAAAGAAAGTAAGAAAAACTTAAAGAGAATAATAGAACGAAAATTAAAGGAAATGAAATAAAGAAATAAATACAGAGAGTGAGAAAGAAAGAAAGAAAGAAAGAAAGAAAGAAAGAAAGAAAGAAAGAAAGAAAAACAAAGAATATATCAAAGAAAATAAAAGAAAGTGAAAACGAGAGAGAGAAAGATTTAAAGAGAATAATAGAAAGGAAATATAGTAAATAAAGAAAGAAAGAAAGAAAGAAAGAAAAAGGTAAGAGGTTATTAAAGAGAAGAGAATAAAGTAAGAAAGTAGAAAAGAAAGAACGAAAGAAAGCGACTAGAAATATATTAAAGGAATAAAAGAAAGAATGATTAAAAATGAAGAAGATATTAAAGCAAATCATGTTTTTCTCCTCTTTTTGTACAATTGCTTTCCATCATCTACGTCATTATCAAGAACTGGGTATTGCCAATATAGTGGAAGAAATTTTTTTGGCTTTATTTGCGAACAGCGTCATTTATAATAATTTGGGATGATTTTTGTTAAAAAATGTCTTTAGGCAAAATAACGGTTTTATTGATGGATTCATGATGGACTCATTGTCATATACAAAAATAGAAAAATACAATGCCAACTATTGTTTAATATAGTTAATGTAGTTTAATATATTTCATATAATTAATATAGTTTAATATAGTTAATACAGTTAATGTAGTTTAATACAGTTAATATAGTTTAATATAGTTAATATAGTTTAATATAATTAATATAGTTTAATATAGTTAATATAGTTTAATATAATTAATGTAGTTTAATACAGTGAATATAGTTTAATATAGTTAATATAGTTTAATACAGTTAATATAGCTTAATATAGTTAATGTAGATTAATACAGTTAATATAGTTAATATAGTTTAATATAGAGAGTATGGTTTAATATAGTTAATATAATTTAATATAATTAATATAGTTTAATACAGTTAATATAGCTTAATATAGTTAATATAGTTAATGTAGATTAATACAGTTAATATAGTTAATATAGTTTAATATAGTGAGTATGGTTTAATATAGTTAATATAGTATAATATGGTTAATGTAGTTTAATACAGTTAATATAGTTTAATATAATTAATATAGTTTAATATAGTTTTTATAGTTAAAACAGTTTAATATAGTTAATATAGGTAATGTAGTTTAATACAGTTAATATAGTTAATATAATTTAATATAGTTAATATAGTTTTAATATATTTAATGTAGTTAATATAGTTTAATACAGATAGTATAGTTTAATATGGTTAGTGTAGTTTAATATATTTAATATAGCTAATATAGTTTAATATAATCAATATTGTTTAATATAGTTAATATAGTTAATATAATTTAATAAATTTAATATAGTTTAATATATTTAATATAGTTTAATATATTTAATATAGTTTAATATAGTTAATATATTAAATGTAGTTTAATATAATTAATATAATTAATATCTCAACAGGTTAAAGGCGCTTAAGTTTAAACTTTAGTTTGATGCCCGATGTAATCTGAATGTTAAAAAATTCTTCAAGTTTTAGACACATTTAGCTTTAATCTTCTTAGTTTAAATTATCCTTCATATTATTAGCAGTATCCTGGGGAGAAATGTTGTATCATGGTGGACGTGAATTTCCTGTTGGTTATTTCAAAATTAATGACCATTCGTTACTGATAACGGTACCTGCCTCTGTCAGTCAAAGAGAAGACGTTTAGTGTGACTTATCCGCAGAAAGACAGAACTTGGCTGCCATTCCAGAACAGAGCCGGTGCGAACACGGGAACGCCCAGTTATGAAGAGAAAAGTATCTGTCTATATTTATGAGATGAGGTATTATGTACACTATTTACATTATCATCATCCTTATCTTTGTTGCCATATTTATCACAACGTTTCGGCCGTTGTACGCTCCGGCCTTCTTCCGGTGGTTGGAATGTCGCTCGCTGGGGTATACAGTTCTAGTTCCACGTGACATGTTTTCAAGGACACATGGCACAGTGGATAAAGGCATTGGTTAGATCCAGTGACAAAACCTAAAGAGTTGTGAGTTCAATACCTGGTTATGGCGGTGGAGAACTTGGAGAAGGGAATTAACAGGAGATAACTGATAACTGACATCCATTAGACATGGCTCGTGGAACTAAAACAGTCTACGCCAGGGTCCATTTCGACATTCCAACCACCTGAAGAATGCCAGAGCGTACAACGGCCGAAACATTGTGATAAATATGGCAACAAAGATGAGGACAATAGTCCGAATAATGTGTAATAAATATGGCAACAAAGATGAGGACAATAGTCCGAATAATGTGTAATAAATATGGCAACAAAGATGAGGACAATAGTCCGAATAATGTGTAATAAATATGGCAACAAAGATGAGGACAATAGTCCGAATAATGAACATTAAACATGGCACGTGGAACTAGAACTGTCTACCCTTTCCTCATCGTTTTGCCATACTTGTTACACATTATTTGGACTATTGTCTTCATCTTTGTTGCCATATTTATTACAACGAAATTATAATATCCAGAAATTCATATATAGATGTCCTTAAGGACACATGGCACTGTGGATAAAGGCGTTGGTTAGATCCAGTGACAGGACCCAGAGAGTGAGAATTTAATACCCGGCTAAGGCAGTGGAGAACTTTCAGAGGGAAATTAAGAAGAGATAAGTGATAACATGGCACATGGAACTAGAACAGTCTACCCCAGTGAGCGAAATAAAGGGTTCAGTTCGACATTCCAACCACCTGAATAAGGCCGGAGTGTACAATGGCCGAAATGGTGTAATAAATATGGCAACAAAGATGCGGACAATAGTCTGAATAATGTAAATAATATAGCTACCTATATTAACAGAAGACTTCGATATGTCGATGTGCTTCTGGACTGAGAGGTCGCAAGGCCTACCTGGAGTTGAATGAATGCGCTTTTTCCTCGCTTTTATTCTAATTTCAATGATATTATTTCTTGCCTGTAAACCTGATATTTTTTTTCTAGTAGATTTGTATAATGCCAAATCTTTCTAGATTTTGCCAGCTACTCACTTTTTTTTAATCTTTGCGACAGATTTCCTATCATATATCTCCTTTGTCCTTGTTTGTGATTCCGGTGTCTCGGTTGCGTTTGTCCCATACGCGTGGTGTTCCCGTGTGAAAGTCTTCTACGTTCCCTGATCATCGTGATCCAGTGTTTGATTCCGGTGCTGCTGAGTTTTCAGTCGCTCTTCTTTGGCAGACACCCAACCCATAAGAAGAAAATTACCTCACTTCCCTACTTGTTTCTCTAAGTTTGACCAATATACCTCTTTACTAGATTCATCCTTCACACCTTTCATGACTCAATTTGTCCTCTTGATAATTCGGATCACGCTGTAGTGCCTGTTGATATTTCATTTGACTCGTGTATTAGCAATGAACCTCATATTCAAAGGACTTCTTTTTGCTACCTGTTATTGGGAGTCATTTTGCAATTTTCTTTGCGATGCTACGGTACCTTTCTTGGTTCTCAAGAAACTTTGTTTGCTGCTTTTGATATTTCAAAATCGTTTGACAAGGTTTGGCATGGCGGTCTTCAAAAGTTGAAGGTTTATAGTGTTTTTCGTTAATTTCTTTGATATGATTCAATCTCTCTTATCAAATCTTCTGATGAAGGATATCATGAACGACCTCTCTTCTAGATGTTTTTTGGTATTAATGCTGGCGTTCTCCAGGACTTCTTGGATACATCCTCTTACTTATCTTCATCAAAGACCAACCCAATCCCACCAGTGTCCGACAATATATATATATATATATATATATATATATATATATATATATATAATTATTCACACAAAATTAATGCAAGGTTAATGATTTAAATGGCGAGACATCCATCACGCAAACAATTCAAATAGTATACAAAAAAACCTCCAGATCCGTTATGAATGAATTGATCCTTGTTTATATAAATTTCTGCCGTATTAGTTGTTTTTTTACTACAAGCTTTCGTCTGTTCCTACAGACATCTTCAGGTATAGAATAGAGATGTTGTTCTTGTTTTTCTCTTAGTAATAAGAGGACAACGAAAATATATGTGTTGTTGTATCCGAAAATGCTATTGAAAAAGAGTTATTGGTTTTGGAACGCGCCAAAGCAACACTGAGTTTGATTTTAAATTTTTAAAGTGTTTGCGTTTATACCAAATATGGTGATGAACAAATTTTTTTACTGGTAAATTTTTCTGTCAAAGTGGCATGAACTATATTGTTCAATAATTACAGTAATGTCGCACTTATTATCTAAAAGTCACACTTGGATCAGTTATTTAAATTACAATAAACGTGCAATCAATTTACAAATACATGAATTATTCACACAAAACTAATGCAAATATATATATGCTGATGACACATATGTTTACTTTTGTCCTAATATCATGCCTGATAGGTCCGATAAAATCAATTTGACATCTACAATCCGTTATGAGCTAGGGCAAGGTTTTAACGCCTCGAAAACGAAAGCGCTCTTTATTAATGACCTTAACCTTTGTGCTTTCCATCAGCACGCTTGAGATCAATCTCCAGGAGAGCCACTCATTCTGCCTAATTATTTGGAACTTTTTTTTTCCATAGACGTGGAATGATAATATTGAATCAATTACTAAATCTACTTCCGGGAAAGTCAGTTCGCTATGACATTGTAGACAGTTTCTCTCGCCAGCATCCTTCTTGTATATCTACGTTTACCATTCGTTTGTGCATTGAATGTTACTGTCGCATCTGTTGGAGTTTTTTGTGTATGTGTATGTACTAGTGAGCAAGTCAAAAAGAGCTGACTCATTTTATAGTTCACCAATAGAAGGGTTAACCAATCAGAAAGCTCAAAATATTCAATGCGACGTGTTTAAAGCAGCCATTTTTTTCTCCCAAATTGTCTGCACTGCCAACCTGATATCGAAGACTTAAAGAATTACTTAACAACCGCTACTTTCTCTGAATCTTCAGTGCCGTCCTCTGATATTGAACAGATTACGGACTTCACTGAATTCCATATTCAGAGACTGAGGCAAACATGGTCAACAGAAACTAGTACGGTGCTTCTGTTTTTATATCTAGCGTTACTTGGCAAAATCCAAAGAATAATCGGCAACGATATCAGTCTTGCCCTCGCATCTCGGCTTCAGTCACCTTCCCAAGGCCGTAATGTAGTTTCCCGGGACCATTTCTATAAACATTTCCCTTGTAACTGTTCTGATAAGCTATCCGCTTTGGTACCTCGTCTATATGAATTTAAGCGTACTATATTGGCGGCAAGGTCTCATCACCTTACAGTTGAATTGGCTAGATGAAACCGTAAGTTCTTTGCTAACAGCTTCTTACATCGACTTCATGAATTTAAGTTTGTTTATTGATTGATCGATTCGTTTTTTACGAGTTATCAACCCTTTGCAGGTTATTTAAAATATTTTAAGATTGGTAGAATATATTTTTCATTTTAGAGATAAAAACAGTTTAGTGATACAAGTCCTACTAATTAACCCATAGTTGGAGGAATAAAAGGTGGGTTCATGCCTTTCCGAAATAAGTATATATAACAAAACCAAAACCATGCCTTTCCGAAATAAGTATATATAACAAAACCAAAAACCGTTTAACATATCCATGCCAGTATCCATTACATTACCCGCATATTCAAGCTTATTTTACCTGGTATTATTCAGCGGTCACCCTTCTAGGTACTGAGCAGGATTGATGTTGCTTAACTTCTGCATTCATAATGGACCCGTTGTTTCAATGTGATTTGTCCGTAAGACTACGAATTTTATCATTCTCATAATTTCACTGTTGAAATTGCTTGTTGTAACCGCAAGTTTTCTGTTAACAGTTTCTTCTCTCGCGCTTCTCTCGACCAGCTTCCTCTCTTCCTGTCAACTTCACAGATCCGAATGCAATGTCAATCGTTATCTTCTTTATCAATTTGTGCATTTTTATTATTCTCTTTATTGACTGTTTTCTTTTTCTAATATGTTCTCACCTTCTGTAACCCGTTGTATCTTAGTGGCTTTATTGCCTTTCCTGAGATTAAATGATGAGGAAAATGTGACATCTAAGTAAACGAAACCTTCTTCTGGCTTGCTTGTCTCTCTATTAAAGCGTTGGAGGTAAACTTGGCATTATTCACCAGATACTTAGAGTAACTCCTAAGGTGGTTAAGTCATCAGGAGGCGTATAATATCGGACCTACCGTGTTGCTATTTTCTGTATGTGATCTATGCAATTAAATATTTTCCTGTGGATCTTCTCAATGGCATGAAGTATGTATAGTTACCTCTGAGATAAATACATTTTTGGTATTGGTGTGATTTGAGTAGAAATTTATGAGAACACTATGGCTGATGGATTTTCTATAGATATTTAGTTTTAGATCAGATCAGTGCGAATTTTTTTTCTGTTTCGAAGAAATGGTATGCTAATACATAACCAAGTGGTGACCTCATTGTTAGTTCATATTTAATAAAAAGGCATGAATATGCATGTCGGCTGTAGAGATTTTCCTTTTATTTTATTTTATTAAAGGTACTTTTAGAAGATCTGAGCATTTGACAATTGTTTACTGAACAAAATTATTTAATATCTAAACTAGTCATAAATTTAACTTTCACACTTATGGCTTTTAGAATTTCCACGAGATCACCGCGATTTTTAATATGAGAATTGGCGCAACAAGTGCTACTAAAATCGTCTATGAGAATCACTATAACTGCCTGGTATTCATGGTGGCATTCAATCAATTATTCATTTTCTATTTCATACTTATATTTCAGAAATTATTTGAGGCTCATCCATTCGTCCAATGCCATTAGATTCTTTAAGTATGCTCTTTGCGTTTTATGTATCGCGATCAATGATGAGAATTCTGACGATTATGTGCCTCCATAGATGATTAAAAAGAATCTGACGATTATTTTTTATCATTTCTCTATTGCTTTTAGGCAAAGTTGCTTCATTTTGCATACAGGATTCTTTCCATCAAGAAAACCGTTATTTTGTCTGAAGTGGCCCTTTGGGAACGAAAATTTAGTCCATAGACAGATAGATAGATAGATAGGAACAGAGAGATATATAGATTATGATCAAATATAGATAAACAGATAGATATGATCAATCTGAGATAGATAGATAGATAGATAGGAATGAATTAGAAAGTTATGAACATAGATAGATAATGATCAAAGATAGATAAACCGATAGATATGATCAATCTGAGATAGATAGATAGATAGATAGATAGATAGATAGAAATGGATTAGAATGTTATGAACATAGATAGATCGATAGATAGATAGATAGAAATGGATTAGAAAGTTATGAACATAGATAGATAGATAGGAATGGATTAGAAAGTTATGAACATAGATAGATAGATGGATAGATAGATATGAACAGAGAGATATATAGTTATTTTCCAAGCGTAGGTTAGATGTGGCACAAGGCCGAAAGTATGGGGCATCTAGTGAGGATCGAACTCACTTTTCAGTTGTAACTGATCTAGCGAGACAAGCTTGCTAACCATTACACCACGCCGAGGTGCCCAACAGAGAGATATATAGATAATGATCAAAGATAGATAGACAGATAGATATGATAAATCGGATATAGATAGATAGATAGATATCTGGAGACTAAGATAGATAGATAGATAGATAGATAGATAGATAGATAGATAGATAGATAGATAGATATACTTTTCTATATGTCAAAAGATAGATACATAGGAATATACTCGGATAGACTGATATGAAATGAATGGATTCGAAAGACATAAGCATATATATGAATTTATTGGTAAATGCTGGATAGATAGATAGATAGATAGATAGATAGATAGATAGATAGATAGATAGATAGATATGAATCGATTGGAAAGATATGAACACAAAACGATCAACGAAAGTAGAGCAGAGTGAAGTCGATAACAGTGTCAGCAAGAGCAAGTTAGATAAGTTGAATGATTGATATCGAAAGAGATGTACTTGGAAATAAAGAGGGAAATTTTGTCGCATGACGTAATGATCGGTTTTGAAGGAACGGAGCCGAAAATAACATCATCAAGGTCGACGCGAAACATGAGATTAGAGAGAAAGAAAAAATAAATAAACTGTTTTGATGCCAGCATAAAGGTTGAAAAGTGAACAACACCCGAATAGAAAGGGAAAAAAATAGAAATAGAAATAGAAAGAAAGAAAGAAAGAAAGAAAGAAAGAAAGAAAGAAAGAAAGAAAGAAAGAAAAAAAACCGTCAGGAAGAAGGAAATGAAAATGAAAGAAAAGAAGACAGTAAAGAAGAAAGCACGCAAGATATAAAGCAAGAAAGAAAGAAAAAATGCAAGGTATGAATTTAGAAAGAAAGAATAAAAGAAGGAAATATAAAGGCAAACAAAAGAAAGAAAGAAAGAAAGAATGAAATAAAGAAAGAAAAAGAGAGAGAAATAATAAAGAAAGAAAGAATAAAAGCAAGCGAGAACGAAATAACTGAAGAAAGAAAGAAAGAAAGAAAGAAAAAGAAAGAAAGAAAGAAAGAAAGAAAGAAAGAAAAATGTCTGGAAGAAGGAATGGAAAATGAAAGAAAAGAAGACAGCAAAAAGAAAGAACGCAAGATAGAAAGCAAGAAAGAAAGAAAAAATGCAAGGTGTAAATTTAGAAAGAAAGAATAAAAGAAGTAAAAATAAAGGCAAGCAAGAAAGAAAGAAAAAAGAAAGAAAGAATAAAATAAAGAAAGAAAAAGAGAGAGAAAGAATAAAGAAAGAAAGAATAAAAGCAAGCGAGAACGAAATAACGGAAGCAAGCAAGAAAGAAAGAAAGAAAAAAAGAAACGAAACGAAACGAAAATAAATTATGAGAAAATGCATCAAAACAAAAGAGAAATGAAACAACAACAACAAAAAAATAAAATAAATAAAAATAAAGAGAAAGAAAGAGACGTACAAAACGGTTAGGATTTTGAAAAAGAAAAGAAAGTAAAAGAAGGACCTGTTTAAAATAACAATAATACAAATTTAATAAATGGATGATAGAAAAAAATAACTATATGAAAAATGATACTGAAATCTAAAGAAAGCTGAGAAAAATGAGAAAAATTGAACATAAAATTATTTTTTAAGAATTCCGAAAGAAATTTATTGAATTCTATTGCAACTGACAAAAGGAAACGCTGGAGAAGGAACGAAAACTCAGTCGAGAAGAAGAAAGAAATCACAGAAAAAAACAAAAAAAAAAAAAACAACCAAGAATTATCTCCAATGGAAGAAAATATACATGATGTCAAAACTATAGAACAAGTTGATTAAACTACGAGATATGGGTGGCAACGTTGCTTCAGAAAATGCACCATATATTCAAGGTGAGTTGCATAAATTGTCGTCTAATTGACGCCAAAATGAAAATAACAGTGACATCTCATTTTACAAGATACATTTAACAAAATTACAGAGAAATATCTAGAAATACTAAATAGTAAATTTATTCAATGAAATCATCATTGGCTTCAACCACGGCCTACAGACGACTTCCGAATCTCTTGCAATTCATCTTGGTCTCCTTGTTTAATTTGGTGAATGCTGCCATAATCCTTGCCTTCAGTTCATCTTTGGTGTTACAAGGAGTTTTGTTGGTCTTTCGCTCAACTTCCACCACCCACATATATCAATGAAGCGGGTTGCAATCTGGGGAGTTAGGTGGCTATATGTAAGGGTTGAACTTAACGCAGAAATTGTCTGATAGGCATGACTGTTCTCTCCTGCTTGTGTGTCATGGAGCAGAGTTCTGTTGCCAGGCACAGGATCTTCCTGCAGATATTCTCTTGACCCAGGGCAGCACTCCTAAAGGCATTTCATGTAGGCCCTCGTGTTGCTCTGAGACTGTGTGGGAAGATGAATGGAAACCATGTCTCGTGATCGCTTTAAAAAAACCTTCGTCATTAGAAACATCCTACCTGTTTAGAATCCTCTTGCACTGTCCTCAGAGTGACACCCAAACACCCTGAAATGTTCGTATTTAGAGATTCTTGCGCGAATGTCAAGCAGTACAGCATGTCATTTCCAAATTTCTGGCGGAGTAAATTGCGACATGGTTCACTTTTTCTCGCAGACGATATTGTGTAGTCGACAAAATCAAAAACAAATAACGCGCATGCGCGAAATTAAAAATATAAAATGGAGACAGTTTACCCATTGCACTGTACATATATATATATATATATATATATATATATATATATATATATATATATATATATATATTTGAATGAAAATCTAACATTTTTAAGCATTTAAAACAACATGCCTGCCCGCACACACAATTCCGTAAAATACTTGTCGAAAACACAATTATACTTCGACATGAAAACAATAGACAAAAACTAAAAATCATTGAAGCATTTCAAACAGTCGAAACCCAACCTAAACAAAATCAATTATGGCATCTCTACAAATATTCTTAAATGTCTATAAGAAGCCATTGGTTTATATATATATATATATATATATATATATATATATATGCAATAAGAACGAATCAAATATATATGCAATGAGAACGAATTAAATATATATGCAATGAGAACGAATCAAATATAAATTCAAACCATTCGCCCTTGCATGGAGTATTGCTGCCATATATGGTCTGGAGACCCTTCTCATTGTCTCAAGGTCCTTGATAATATCCAAAAACGGATATGCAATGTAATTGGCCCTGATCTGGCATCTCGTTGCCTCTCTTTGTTTTTTTTTTTTGTTTTTTTTACAAATAATTTCACGGCAACTGCTCCGATGAGCTGCTTTCGCTGGTTCCCAGATTTCATGAATTTAAGCGTTCAACTAGGCTGACATCTCGCTTTCACCTTTTCACTGTCGAAACTATTAAATGTAGCCGTCTCTTCTACTCCAATAGCTTAATGTCTCGCAGTTCTCGCCTGGGGAACTCCATCCCCTTTGCCTGTTTTCCTGATAGGTATAATCTCCAACTATTCAAATGTAATGTCAATCGACGTTTTCAGATGCCCTAAGCTATCCTCTAACCTCTTCATCCTTTCCTCTATCACTCCTCCTTGTTCTCGCTCCAACTCCCTATAACCCCTTGCGACATAGGAGTTTCCAGCCCTGCTTGTGTTTGAATGCTTAAAAAAAGAAAATGTTCATAACATTAATTTGAAAAAGAGCACTATACAAAAGTAGAGATATTATTTATTTTATTTTTTATCACCTCATAATCGGATGCTATGTTGCATTGATACATTAATGCATTTTTGCGACAGAAATATGTACGTTCGAATGTAATAACATATATATATAAATATCAGAGATAGAGCGTGTGTAAATATAAAATGAACATTGAAATCAACACTTAGAGGCGACAGGCTGTTTCATACTAGACGCAATCGTAGGGCCACGAGTATGGTTTCATTTTCTCGGCTATTCGGGTCAGTGGTGCATTCTGGGTAATATATTTTTATGTATATTTCTTATCATTTATCGTTATTTATTTATTTTTCTTCTAATTTTTTGTTTTATTAACGTAGTAAAAATTTGTTTATATCGCTTCTTTAATTGTTTTGTTTTGGTTTGAGAAGATAATTAAAGCTATTTATTCAATTTTAGGGTTGATTGTTGTAGTTTATTCTAACAATTATTTTGGCGGGAGCAGTTTTTAATTTGTTTATTACTTCGTTTATTTATTTGGATTGATTAAAATAGAAAAAATAAAAACAAGCAAAATATTTTAACTCAAATATATAAAGAAATAAACGACATCCGACAAAATAACCGCCAAAATAGACTACCCACAATGCACCACATTGGGTTGGGGTATGATGCCTTGCAAAAGTTAAGCAAAGTATTAAAGCAGGAACATTTCGTTAGAACCAAAGTATACTGAACTGTTATGGAATTTCAATCGTCGCATATCGCTGTCAATGGTGGACCACCTCTGCACAGATGAAGGAACTTGAGACAATAAAAATGTGATTCTACAGAAGGATGCTGAGAATACTATAGACTGAATATGTCAGCAAACAACGAAGTTTTGGAAAGTGGACTTCCAAAAATTAAGCAAAATATTAAGAAGCGTTAAGTTTAAGCCGAACCAAAGTGTAACAGTACGATTTCTCACAGATCCTTAGGAGATAAGTAGATAAATTTCTTTTCATTTAAAGTCCAATTAATTACCTGAGTTTCTTCGGAAACTCGTCTCCAGTCCATCTTTGAGTCAATTTAAGTGTCAGAGTTTTCAGGATTTCTATCTCCAGCCCATAGTATGTTTGTTATGTCGAACATAAAATTTTTGCTAGTGATTTTAGATAATCATAAAAGTGGTTTTGAAGAAGCTGACCGCCCCAAAAGCCGAATGGGTGGTCTCTTGTTCCGGAACATAAACGGATGAATAGGGGTGGTCGGACCTCAATCAATATGCATATAAGCAGAGAGATACAGGAAGTTAGTAAATAGGTAAGTGACCAGTGAGTGAGTAGCTACCTAGCGGCCAGTAAGAGAGGCACCAGCGAGCAGTTAGGGAGATAACAGTCAACTATCGAAGCTGAAGAGAAAGATTAGCAGTTTGGTGAGAATTCGTATTGTTGCTATATCTCAGCCTGTGTCTTGAAAGGCATTTGTCGTTATTTTTTGTTGAATACGTTCACGGCTAAGAAGACAAACATAACGAGTCGGGTGTATATACAGACACAGCCAACCTTGGATCTCGTCGAACGACGGATTATCGGAACATGTCGCCACGAAAGGAATGAGTACAGAACTGTTATACAATATCTGTACTCCTAGATGGCATTGAATGTTGCACAATATCTGCCGAGATGAAGAAGAGACAAAAGGTAAGATGTTCTTCTACAGAAGTATGCTGAGAATACTATGGAATTTTTTTTTTTAAAGAAAAGCCAAACAAAAAGGACTCTAATACTTTGCATCACAACGAGAAAGTTGACATTTCTCGAGAGCATAATGAGAAGAGACGGCTTCGAAAAATCTGACCCTTACTGAAAATATTGAAATCAAGAG